CCAGAATACTTTACAGCATAAGGAGACTCGCACTTAGATCGCGACCTCCGCTCCATTTCCAACACCATGTGGAGCAGCATTCGTGACGCACATGTCAAGTTGGAGCAGGCCAATATGAGTGCTTTCCACGTAGCGCCCTTATATTACCCGGCTCTCCCAAATGGGCAAATTGAATGACCTCGTCAAAGAAAAGAAAGATTTGGCAGGTAGAAGAAGGAGGGGTTACAGTGATCCAATAAAAAAGGCCTTAACACATTCCCGTTAGGTCGCCTTTGCGCGCTTTTCTCCAGTACCCAAGGATACTAGTTCTCTTCTCCCATTCGCTCCTCCTTTAAACCGCCAATACTCACTGTGACGTCAAGAGCTGTCAAGGTACAATAAATAGGCGAGGACGGTGGTGATTCGTGTACACCAACACTGGTTCACGGCACTGAGTGTTTCCACAATGTCTGCAGTATGGACTTCTCGTCCAAGATCTGTCTAACTTCGTTGTGAATATACAGATGGCAGCAATCACCTCCTGAACAATTCGCACCTCATTTGGCAATATTTCTTTCGCCTTATTCATCATACTCATCAGTCGGCTAAATTAACTCTCATTAAGGCCAATTCCTCCGGCTCACAATGTTAGCAAGTACACCTTACCTCAGGCACAATGACAGACAAATCATTCGTCATGACTCCCCAAAATAAATCTTCTTCTGAGGTAATTCTGTGATGGTGAGAGGCTTTCATTCTAGTAAGTTTGAGATAACCCTTTCCTGTTTAGTTATTCTTCGTTCGTATAGCAAGTGAATTAGATGTAATCTACTGCTTTGAACAGATTGAGATATCGCCACTGTATGGAGGGAAGGAATGGGACTGCACAAAGTTGAAGGACTTATCAATTTCTCTGATGACATGGCAACTACCTACAAAACGTCACCTTTCATTTCATGCCTCAACGCGTTTGAAGTAAAGTTGATAAAGATGTGTTCTGTTTATCGGCGGTAAGGGTTTTGTGGAATGGGCTAGAACTGCAACAATTCCCACTTGTCCTAAATTTGTACAGATTTGGTTGCACATGCTGCTTAAGTCATTCAGTAGAGAGGTTGTAACGATATAGAATATTGACATACTTTGTTTACTGACTGATAACCATCGAATACACAGTGCCGAATAAAAGGGCGGTCTTGTCAACACTTATTCTCCTTCTCTTCCTCACCTTCTCCCTGCCACATTTTCGAGTGAAACCAGTGCGTTTCGTTACCGTCGTCACGATCGTTGTTGAAGTACGCCAAGGGAGATTACTAAATCTACGCAAAGAGAAATAGACCAGGACTACAGCATGTGGGCAGGCCATGTGGTTCTGTATGAAATTACTCATATCTTCTTGCCTTTGTCGGCTCTTACACAGCTGCAATTCCAACAACCCACATGTGTCCCTCACTAAAGTGGGTGAAAACCCACGCCTTACCATTGCCACCGTATTTAAATCCACTCATCAACGAGTCACGGTGATCAATCTACCCTTAGTTAATCTACACCGTGTAGTTCACCTTTAAGGGAGGAGTTGACTGGCCTACAAGAAAGTTCCTCTCCTTCCGTTGTAGCTAATTCAAAAATCGGCTGCAACTACAATGTTAAGGAACCTCCGTAATCCAGTTGTGTTTGGCCGCGAAGAACATCTTCACTTACCCAGATCTTGTATTTCTTAAAGGCCATAGTCCATTCTTCTCCCCCTTCCCCACAGACTGCGTAATTCAGAAAGGCAGAGAGTAGTGCAGTGAGTAGGGGGAAGGCCAAAGGAGCCAAGAGATTGACCTATGCTCCATCAGTAATGGCCTAAGCGTAATGATGTTCTCTCAGGAAAAGCTTGGACTGTTGGGCCTTCGTGGTCTGCCACATGGGTTCGTTTTTAGAACCGACGGAATGAGCTAACAGTTCAGTGGCAATCGCTTCCACAATGATCATCGTGGGGCGAATCCATGGACTTTGCTAAATGTTGGGTAATGGGTGCCTGCCATTCCACCAAAAACTTTGCACTCATGACTTTAAATGCACAATTTCTTGATAATTTTGTTCGTTTTTGGTCCTTCATCAGCACTTTTTAAAGTATTTTGTTAAGCGTAAAAAGCATAGAAATGCAATTTTGAGAAGACTTGATAATTAAACCAGCCTCGTGAAGTAAATCTCACACGGCACTTGGATTTGGGAAAATTCGGGCAGTTACTCAACGATTTTTCAGGTTTTCTTTTGCGTTTGTTGGGCGTAGAGATATTTTGGAGGTTAATGGGTGGAAATGACAGGTTAAACGTCAAGACTGCCTCTTGAATTACTTTCGCAACTCCGATTGCTTCGTGCGCACTTGCAGGGTTTCTTTTACCCAGCACGTGGTGTCCACTCTCAGATGCATAGCAGCAGATGTGGTCAGCATTCTCACACACTCTGACCTAACTCCATGGGAAGAATGCTGACAGATGGTCACTACCGACAAGCCTACGTTTTGTCCACGTATTGTCTACTCCCCTCCCCATTTGTAACATGGAGGTTAGAAGCAAGCAACTTCTCTGTCATTGTGAAATCGCCTCCCATATTCTCGCGTGCTCTACCTAATGCCCGTGTGCCTGTTTGTATGGCTGTCACAGAGCTGGCTCATAATACTTTCGAAACGGCAAGTAGAGATGCTGTCTGCTTTGAACACCCTGCCTTTCACCGAATCAAGTTGGTAAAGTGGTTGTGTTATTGACGCTCCAAATAATAGAAGTCTTCATTCTCCTCATTGGTTTTGCATAACCTGTTATCCTTTCGATTAAAAGGGAAAGCCTGTTTCCCAATTTTAAAACCATGAGACGCATTGGTGCTTTAAGAGGTGTAGATTCGACATTCTACTTTGCCAACAAAATCCCACAATCTACATTTAGTCAGGTGATGGCTATGGGATCAACATACCTCTTCATGCGTTCCCACGACCAACCGAAAAAGGGCCACTGCCACCACACAGCACTATTAACTAGGCAAGTTGTATTTCATAACGAATTGCTGATTAGCTTTGATGGTAGTACCTCGTCGATTTGCCATGTATCTGCTTTCGTTCACACCACACAGACTGAAAAGCCAATGAATGGAGCAGCGGGTTGAGGACTTCCACCTTACCAACCAATAGGAAACAATACCGCTTAGGGTAGATTTACTGCAACCGAAACCACCTCACTAGCTCCTTAATGACACAGCATTATTTCTCCATCCGCCTTCTATGTGATTCATCGTTGAACCTTGCAGCAGTGCCTCGTCTGACATTTATCCTCCCCTGTTACTTCGTAGGTGATGATTGGGCGTATTGGTATCTCATTCCAGTGCCACACACTGATACAGATTGTGTAAATTAGTAGCGACAATGTCGCGATTGCCATCTCCCTCATAACACCACAAAACTTTCTGCAATTCTGTGGGTCAGCACCAACTGTTTCACAACGAAAAGGGGACCGACTTAACATAAACCGCTACACAACCTGAGGTAATGTGATCACGAATGGCTCTTTCGACTCTTATTTGGCACTTTGCAGCAATAAAGATGTTTCAGATAAGGCCTTCATAAGAAAGAATTCGAATGGGCTTTCCTTACATTTGCGTCATCACGTACATTCACTCTTAATTTAAATCCCTTCTACCTCCTCTTCACAAAGGCTTGAAGGCGAAATTGGCCACAAGCAGTCGTGACTTTGGAGGCCATGGTTACGCATTCCCAAGTCGGCAACATTAACAACTGGTCTTTTAAACTGCAGTTATTGAGAGTACAGCAAACAAAGTCTTCTCCATCCGCTATTGCTCTGCAACAGTTGGGTGAACTTTTGAGTTGTAAGGAGGCCAGGGGAGCAGTTCCGACTCAACAACTTTGTATATGCACCAGAAAAGCAGCACCAATATGGAAGCTGCTACAAATCCATAGTCGATGATCTCGGCAATCACTTCAAGAATGATCACCCTTGCGGCCAGTAGAATAGGCATCATCTCTTTTAGAAGTCAGCCAATCATGAAATTCACCTAGTGAGTCCAATTGGCTTAAAAATTTGTCCAGTTTTATACACAGGCATGTGAACAAGCTTCATCTCATGCACCATGGGCCAGTCATCAGAGACCACACTTCCACTACTGAGGTCACATCAACTTTTGGGTTAATTTGGCAAAACTTGTTGTTACTCCTCCTTTCTCTCCCTTTACCAATGTCTTGGCAGAGATATTTGAAAATCAGGGAGTTGGAGGTATTTGGAGACATTGCGACATCTTACAAATGCGAGGACATATCAAACGAAGAGGTGGGAGGGTAGGGGGTGGAATATCAGCTATGTTGAGGCTAAGGCATACACCATCCTGTGAAAACCATCAGTGAAGCTGCTCACATAGAACAACGATATGCAAAAGCCAACTTTTGCCAATTTGCGGCTGAGCTGGAGCAAAACTTAACAATGAAGACAGAGATGTGAATGAGGAGGAGAATGTTCATCCTTAATGACGGTGCGTTATCTATTAATATTTTGCACTGATGGAGGTCGTCAAACATAAGCACTATTTCAAATTCACTTCACTCACCTCCGATCTATGTTAAGCTTCATTTGACTTCTAGTATAACATGCCATAACTACTGCTACGAGCCATACTTCCCATCGCCACTCATGGTAATTTTAACAGTCGATTAAAAGCTGGCTGGAGTGGACTCAATCGCCTCTCTCCAAAATTAACACCTACCTTATAAACGGGGGATTTCCCATTACTTCATTTATGAATAATGTTTTTTTCCTTATATTCGGAGATTCAGAGATGTTGGTCTTGACTAAGTGGATGGACCCATGCATGCCAATACATCCCACATTCTGCGCGGATACGCTGTCACCGAGATTTTGCACAGCCTAGATCATGGTGGGAACCGCGCGCTATTCAAAGGGTCACTCTTCAAAATTTATTGCAGAGGTTGGACTTTCCCCATTGACCTCATTGATCAACATGGAGGTAAAAAGTCACCTTTAATTACACTTTTCTGCAACACTCAGTCTCAGATTTGACACATCAGGCCAGTGCTTCTACAAGGAGTTGCCACATCTAATGACTCAGCAACGGACCACAATTAATGATGGCCTCTCGAATCGTGTACACTTCCGTCCCACTTGGAATATGCTCATTGTGCATCTGCCAGTTTGTGACAGTAGGGGCCTGTCATACTTGCTTTCCCCATTCTTCCTTTCCTTCTTGATTCCTTCCTCTCTTTCTAAAAGATGATAGTGAGAATTAGGTCTACTGATCTCGACTGGCACGTCTACTTAGACTGCCAGTGTGCACAGTCCAACCAGCTGTTGCACGATAAGTGGTGCTAGTACTTCTGTGCATCGCGATCAAAGATGAGGTCCTCATTCTTGCTGCCAATGAAATGGGGCAGTTTCGTGATAATTCAAATGCTTCAACGGGCACTTACTTGGACTGAAAATGGAACAGAAGTGCCTACGTGGAATAGATTTTTCTTTACTCTATTTTGTGCGCCTAGGTGCTATCGGCTTTGGTATACTGAGCTTGGTTAGTTCATGACCAGGTGAGTCAATAACTCTGGGATTTTGCAACATTCAAGAGGCATCACCTTCATCGAAGTCCTTCAACATAAGATAAACAGACTCTTAGGTGCAAGGTTGATCTGCTGTTTCCCCATCTCCAATGTTTGCAATGAAGTGAACCTGCAGGTCTAATGGACGAAGCGTTTAACGAATAGTGGGATAACTATCACATCCGTTGAGAAATTATCCTAAGCGGACAGATAAAACGTGTTTTTATTTTCAATCCAGTGAAACCTCAAATCTAGCGATAAAGATTAGACACAACGATTCCACATTGCGCAGTCTCCACAAGTCAAAAGGCATCACTTACCTCGGCTGACTGCATTTTTACCCATCAGAAATGGTCATTTATTGCAAAGTAATGGCGATTTTTTTGGTACTTCTCCATGATGTCTGATAGTGGAGAATTTACTTGTCCAAATGTGACGCTGGTGCATCATGATGCGAGGTGGATTGTGGCTTCGATGCTTCATGCCTCCGAGGTCGTGTCGGTTGCATGAATGAGCTGCGCGCTGACCGAATTCATAAGAAATACTTCACTGAAACGAGAGCACAATACCGCCCAAAAATGTCCCACAGACCTACAATGTTTAAACTCGACCCTAACCACTAGCACGCTCGTCCTGTTAGGCGAATCTCACCTCCTCAATAATCAGGGAATGGCGGTGTAGATCCAGAAGAATAACGCATCCCTGAGTGGGCCTAATCGCCACCCTACCATTGTGTGGTACATGTCTAACTGACATCACAGACAGGTAGTCAAGAATAATTAGGGACTTAGAATCTACCTTTTACATAGCATGCCCTTTCTCCACACATAATGTCCATCGCGACTAACGAGTGCAGAGTAATCAGTGGGAATTACACATATCCTCGCTCAGTGAGAATGAAGTGACAGGACATCAGTGGAACTACATTACAACTGGATTTTCAAACAAGACCACTTCACTGAAATTCCTCTGACGAAACTTTTCACGACTTAGTCGGAATGTGGCGAAGTAGAAAGACGATCTCATAATTTGAAGAGAAAATGTAAGTAGTGTGGCGAACCTCACTCAAGTGCCTGTTCCGTTCTAAGCTTTTGGTCAAGTATGTGACTAATGCTTCTCCACGTTTTCGTCACATGTAAAGCTGAGGGCAGATTCAGACGGTCCCTTTGGATTTAGATTGAATGCAATGTAAGCTCTCTTGCGACTTTCACCCATCTTGCTTTCTTTACCAAAATGGCCATTTTAGAATGCCCAATATGCTCTGCGTCAATGAGGACCAAACCCCATACCCAGCACACGTGCTTCGTGAGCATCAAAGTAGGCGCCGTTCAATTTTAATATTCACCTCTCTATTCATACATATTTGTACATGCATATATGTGTATAGTGTCACTGGGTGCATATATCTACATATGAATGCACATGCATAGGGCATTCACGTCAGTTCATTAATAAATAAAAAGCACTTATTTGACCAACTCCTGCTTTGATTCGATTCACAACGACTTGTGCAACCAATGATCGAATCATGCTGATCCGGGTTTTTCTCAGCCCCTGTGTCACATCACTTTGCATCCAACAGCACGACCTCAGCATCTCCCTTCAAATGTACTTGGCATGTTTTAGTAGTGCTAAATGATTATTGTCCGATTTGTTTGACGTTCCACGAAACCACTGAGTTTAATTCACTGCATCAAAAATGTGAGGAAATTTGCAAAACCTGTCTATTTTTCTTAATCCATGTCCCCATGTTTGGTATGGTATTACGTTAACTTTCTTTCAACCCCTAAATATAGTCTCACATCATAGGATGTGCTGTCTGTGCTATAGGCAATTTAAACTCATCC